CGATACCGAAAAATAAAAGGGGGCCGTGCGTGTAGTTGGGTGTTGGAGAAGGGAGTTTTTTTCTAATTAATTATTACCTTTATTCCTTGTCGGAAGGGGAAAATCGATGCCGCATGGAGACAAGTGGCATCGCGGAGAGTTAAAACGGTACCGCGGATTTAAAAACGATGCCGCGAGAGCCTGATAAGTGGTACCGAACCATTCCGGGTAAGTGACCAAAATTCGCCCAGCCTAATGCGAGTGCATATCAGCGGCGGTTCCATGGATTGATATTTTTTGGCTATATTAGCAATGTCGTTTAATTAAAAGACGGTACCGCGAGTAAGCCCAACGGTACCGTTGTACTAGCAAACGACAGTGTTTAAAATAAAAAACAATGTCGCGAGAGGAAAAACAAACGGAGCCGTTTTGGCGCTAATGATGTCGTTGGCCAACACACGAGTGGGCTAATGATGGCCGGATTAATTAATTAATGTTGTGTTGACTATTTAGGACGGTGTCGTTTAGTTGAAAACGATGCCGCAAGAGGAAAGAAACGACACCGAGGATTTTAAAACGATGTTGCGAGTAGGCCAAACGATGCCGCAATGGTTAAAACGACAGTGTTAAACAGCATCGCAGAACTAAAAAACGATGTTGTTTAATTAATAACGGCGCCGCGAGGGGAGAGTTTGACGGCGTGTCAACAATGATGGCTGGTTTAATTAATTGATATTTTAAGGATTATTTTAGACGGTGTCGTTTAGTAAAAAACAACATCGTGGGAAATATCAGCACCGTCGCGGTACTGAAACGATGTTGTTTAATAGAAAACAACGTCGCAGTGGCGAGAGTTCAGCAATGGCGGATGTTTGGCTCAGTGTCGTTTTGGTCAAGTTTCAGCGTGTCCAAGCGGTTTCGCACTCGTGAGAGTTACGCAACAAGGGGGAAGTTACATGCACGGTTGACAGGAATGAAGACGTGGGAGACAAAGGCGCGAAGGCAGTTACTACGACGGGGAGGAGAGCGAAGTATAAAGATTGGGAAGAGAGAGAAGCTCAAAACAGCAAAATCAAATCACAAACATCACTGTCGCAGAATTTATCTTTTCTCTCTCTAGTTCGTAGAACTTCGCTGTTAGAGAGCTCCTTTGCAGAGTCCTAGTAATTGTAGTCGTAGTCGCGGAGCTCTCCAGAGGAACCTCCATAGGAGTAGAGGTAACGTAACTTTGAACACTCTCAGTTTGGTTTCTCGTTTCTCGTTGAACACCCTCGTTCGAACGTAGTTTGGAGAGGTGGTGAACCGAGTAACGGTTGTTCTGGTTAGAGGTCAAAGGTGCATCGATCAAATCAACATCGCCGACGCCGGCGGTTGATTATTGACGGTCGTCTTGATTTCTGTGTAATCGATCAAATCAACGACGCCGACATTTGGCGGCGGATATTTGACGATTTTGATGACTTTGTGTTGTGCTTACTCGAAAACAGTGCGCATTGAACACGCGAGTTTCGCCAACGAAACAGTATGACCGACATGATTGATATAAGACGTCTATGGAAAATAATGTCGTTTTAGGTATTGACATTGAATGTTGTATTTAAATATGAGTATTGGTGATTTTATTATGAATGTCGTTATAGATATATGTTCAAATATGTTTTTATATGATTAAATGCATTTGAGGCTAATGGTTTGTCATTTTTTTTTTTGTTAAACTGACACAACCCGATTGTATCATCGGTTGAGCTATCAACTTGCTAGAATGACGTAACGGTATAAACCAGTTTAACAATTTTGATTTTCAATAGGCGAAGTCAAGCACAATTTTGCTCTTTCCATTTGTACTGACATAACCACACAAAAAAAAACTTTTTCAGGGGATGGCAATAAGGACCCAATCTTTGGGTATTGTCCAAACCCAAACTATAATGGTTCAAGTCAACTATGGGTATTTTCTTTGGGATTGATCCATACCCAATAATTAATTGGGGTCCAAAATAAGTCCATTTCATTGAACAAAAAAAATGGGTCTCAGGCAGGGCTGCAAACGATTCGATTCAAGTTTTTCTTAGTTTGACCTCGACTCATTTATAAATTTCTCCGCTCGAGCTCGGTTCGAACTCAAATTGATAATTCAGCTCAAGTTTGGCTTGATTAAAAATAATCCAACTCGAGCTCGACTCGGTAGAGCTCGGTAAATGTTCATCAATACAACTTGTCAACCTAAGTATGAGCTCGCCTCAAGATGAGATCGATTTGAAATCATTCTTTGCAGAAAAATGTGTACAGATAAGAGTTTGAATCATAAAAAGAACACTAGAAACTATAAATAACAGCTAACTTCCATACACATCCGTATTAACAAGATAATGATCATGTTCATAAGAGTAATTAATCCTTCTACAAGCTCTAAACAAGCCAGCTCGCGAGCTTAGCTCGACAAGCCACCGAGTCAAGCTAGCTTACGAGCTTATCAAGCTGAGTATGATCTAGCTCAAGCTTGGCTCGTTTGCTAACGAGTAAGCTCGCGAGTTGGCGTATTAAATAAAAAGCCGAGTGTCCAACGAGTTTTTTTCGAACACTGAGTTACTCGCGAGCGGCTTGGCTCATTTGCAGCCCTAGTCGCAGGCAGCCCCAAATGAGTCCAAACTCTCAAAGTTGTTCGCCTTCATTTTCCTTTCATGCTTCTTCTGCGCCTTCTTCCCCGGCTCTGACAGCAGATTATAATCCACCTTTTACTAGAAACCATCTATATTGTACCAAACAAACCAAGGAACCATAATCAAATTAATATAATAAAACCTCTATTGTGATTGGAATTACCCAGAAGGCAAAGAAATTGCAGAAATCTGGTGACGGAAACGACAGCAGCGGCGAGGGCTTTGCTAAGCCGATCAAAAAGGAAACGGTGAGGGTGATGCGCAAAGAGCAAGAGGCTACCAAAGAGGACAAGACGGTGAAGCAATACAATTCGGATTCCAATTTGAGGCTTCTCTTCTATTTGATTGCCCATCGTTTTGCATATCTGCTGAAATCCGACATCAAGGCTATGAAATCCAAGGATTACTCGAAGATCACTTTGGTGGCTAAGTGGTGACCTTCAATTGACTCTTCCTACGATAAATCCTTTGTGAGGAAATTGCTCGCCAGATGTTCCCCAATAACAGTGAGAAGGAGTACGAAGCCGTGGAGGAATTCCACTATGCTTACGGCGTCTGAGATAGACTATGAAAGGAAATTATGGTCCCTCTCTACAAAGCTCTCCAGATCCCGTAGGCTTACATGAGCGCCAGGGAGTGGAATTCCTCCCCATATGGTCATGTCCCGTCCGTGGCGATGAAAAACTAAAAGGAAATGTTCGTCAAGCACGACAAGGAGCGGTTCGAGGATCAACTAGAGAAAGTGAGGATTGGGAAGGCGAAGATCGCAACATGGGCGTTGCTTGATTCAAGCCTAATTGCACACATTTTATCCCCGTTTATCTTGGGCGTTTGTGGCAATTGTGCTCCTAAAAGGGTGGTTTTACTCTAGGTTTGTTCGTTTCAGTGTGTTTCAGGTTCTAACAGGTGAAACCAGCCCCGGAGTTGGAAGTTGGAAGGAAGGGAGCAAAAATGGGGCAAAGAGGGTGATTCGGGCCAGTTTCACGGTTTCCCATTGTAGTTCACAGTCACCTATGGTCGTGAATTGGAGCCCAAAATCGTGAATCGCGAAGCGTCCAAAGCGGATTCTGAAGTTAATGACGCAAGGCGAGTTCCAATCAACAAGACCGCGAACTTTGAGTGCAAACCATGAACTCATGTGAGTGAAGCGGTGCGTTTCGACACAGCGTTCCAAGTTCACGGACGAGTTGAAGAGTTCATGACCTGAACTGAGGCTGATCCCAGTATAAAATCTGAGCTGAAAGGAAGAGAGAGGGAGAGCCCAAGAGTGAGAAAGTGTCTTCTTCAGATTTTAGAGAGAGAAAGGACGAACCAAAGAAGAAAGGAGGCTAGGGTTTGCTCCAAGTGGTGAATTGGGAAGAATCTCCTTAGAGAAGATCAACACAAGATAAAAAAAGAGTGGAGACATCACCATGATGATTTCTACTTCTTTCTTTTGTGTTTTTCCCCTTTCTAGCATGGAGTAGTACTCTTTTTCACTTGGGTGTTGTGAAACCCTAACTATTTATCATGTAGTTGTAGTGTGAATTGAATGATTGTTTATGGGTGTTGTTTAATTTAATGAATGAGGTATTTTTCATGATGATTGTGCATGTTTGTGCTTAGCAATCTAGTTGGCCATTCTAACTTAGGTTGGAGGGGAAAGCCCCCTTATCAAAGAGGCTCAATTGAGTTGGGATTCCTTGGGCTTTTCAAGCCACCTACCTAGGTTAATGTAGGGCGACGCTCTATCTTTAATTAAACAACTAGGTTAATCGTGATTATGCCGTCCGACCATCAGTTTGAGGGAGAAGGTAAGTCAACCCTCAATTGCTTACACCAAGAGGTCTACCCTAGTGGCCTATATCCCTTGGCTTGGAAATTGAGAGAGTTGTCTTCGACCATAATTTCACTTCCTAGCGGTTCACGATTGCCTCGCCCCATAACGTCTCATTCGAGTCCACGTGCTATGGTAGTAGTTAGGGGGAAGCGACACCCGAGTGATCCTTCTCATCTAGAACTTTCAACCATTCACTTTTTCTTTGTTTTAAGTTAATATTTATAGTTTGCAACCAAAAACCAATCCGCTAGATAATGTTTCAAACAATGGAAGTAGGGGTACATGGACCGCCCCAGTTGATATTTAAACATACTTGCCCTATATTGCACCTATCTAAGGTTTATACTTGGACCTCTAGTTGGATTTTGTTGTGATATTTGGGACGAGTCAAGTTTTTGGCGCCATTGCCGGGGATCCAATGGTCTTTTATCTTGAAAAAGTTGTTTGGTGTTAATCTAGCTTTTAATTCTCGTTTTGCTAAGTTGTGAAGTGTGTACTTGTGCCAGACGAGAAGTTTTCTTTGATTGTGTGTAGGGAAGTGCATGAATCGGAGCAATTTGACACCTTTAATACCACTGGACGAGGACATCAACCGGACTCTCCGATTTCTAGCTCTTGAGAAGGAGCAAGCTGAGGCAAGAAAAAGAAGAAGTGAAGAAGGGGGACAACATGTTGGTGCCGAAGTTGAAGGAATTGAAAGAGAAGTTGAAGTTGAAATGGCGGCAAATCAACCTCAAGCTGCCAATCCGACCCCGAATGCAAATGCGGAAGCGGAAGCCGAGGAAGAGCCAAGGACGATGGGCTACTATATGGCTCCACGAGCAGCGGACATCCAGTTACCAATCCTACATCCACCCGTGGCCGCCAACAATTTCGAGATCAAGCCCTCTATCGTGTCGATGATTCAACAAAATGCCTACTTCCACGGGCTTTCTCATGAGTCACCACGAGAGCATGTCCAAAGGTTTCTGGAGCTAGCGAGAAGCTTGAAGATTAATAACGTCTCCGAGGAGGCGTTGCAGTTGAAGCTTTTCCCCTATTCTTTGGCAGGAAAGGCGCTCCGATGGCTCAACAACCGACCGGCTCTATCCATCACCTCTTGGGACGATCTCCTCAACAAATTTATGACCCACTATTGCCCGCCTTCAAAGACGGCCGAGTGGAGGAAGAAGATTACCCATTTCGAGCAAGAGGATTATGAGACGTTGAGGGATGCATGGGAGCGGTTCTCGGACTACTTCCTCCAATGCCTTCACCACGGCTTCGAAGAGAAATTCCGGATCGAAACTTTCTATGGAGGAAATAGTAACATACTTATGATTTTAATAATATTATGAGTTTAATAATATTATGAGTTTAATAATATTCATGGATTATCGCATCTTAATTTTTTTCCCCCTACACCAATTCCTGCTCCGCCCCTATGAGCCAATTGATTGAGCTCCAATTATGAAATTGGCAAACAACTAACAATCTTGGCACCCGAAATTGGAGAAAAAACCCCAAAATGGTACCCTCAAATCTGGGTAGTACAAAAAACCCACCAGAAGAAGATGTCGTTAGTGCCAGCATGGTGGAAGTGACAAACGATAACTCGAAGAAGAAAAAGAACTCGTCGGTGTTGCCTTTTTTGTGTCCTCTGGAATCGTATTCCCCACGGAGATTCCCAAACCCCGCAACCCGAAGAGCAATTCCGGATCGAAACTTTCTATGGAGGAAACAGTAACATACTTATGAGTTTAATAATATTATAAGTTTAATAATATTCATGGATTATCGCATCTTAATTTTTTTGCCCCCTACACAAATTCCTGCTCCGCCCCTATGAGCCAATTGATTGAGCTCCAATTATGCAATTGGCAAACAACTAACAATCTTAGCACCCGAAATTGGAAGAAAAAAAACCAAAATAGTACCCTTAAATCTGGGTAGTACCCAAAACCCACCAGAAGAAGATGTCGTTAGTGCCAGCATAGTGGAAGTGACGAACAATAACTCGAAGAAGAAAAAGAACTCGTCGGTATTGCCTTTTTTGTGTCCTCTGGAATCGTATTCCCCACGCGGATTCCCAAACCCCGCAACCCATAGATCCATAATTGAAAACTATAACCTGATGCCCGATTATTGATTTCATTTCCTCCCTTCTTTCCGATCGTTACCCAGCTCCCGACCCAAACCAAATTCCAACTTCTTCTTCTTTAATAAGTGAAGCTCGTTACGCAACTTCTCCTTCTTTACACAAGTAGTCTCCGTGGAGGGATGATCAGAGGGAGATGCGAGCTAGAAAGGAGGAATAAGAAGAAAGTGTTAGAAATTGAATTCGTCATTAGCCAATCGGGCTATGACATTCAGGGGCAGAGCCAGGATCGAAAATAATTAAACAAAATGTATGTAACTATGCTGGATCGAACCCGTGTGCTTTAAAACACAAGTCAAGCTTGTCTACTATTAGACCACATGACTATTACACAATACAATTTACGGAACAAGTTCTACTTATAAAATTCGTACTAAATATCTTTACGATCCTAGGGGCCGAGACCAATCCCGGGGGTCGAGGCCCACCCTAGATTAAGTGTAGCTCCGCCCCTGAATTGACATTCTTATGCCCTTCCAAGTTCAAGTAATATAAAAGTTTTCATGAATCACCTATGGTCTTGAATGTTATCTTTATGTTTGTTCTAGTAGGTGTATGGTGCCTAATGCCTGACGAGCGGATTATACATTTGTTAAACAATTAATTTGAATTAAAGAGCACAAAATATTTTATGTGGTTTCCTTAAATATCAGAACTAGTTTACAAGAGATGTAGAAAACGCAAATCACTACTACATATCTACAAATAACTGCTATAAATTGTCAAAATCACTACTCTAGATCGACGAAGTCCCTACTATAGATCATAGAACTACCCATAGTACTACAAATATGCATTAGTAACAAGCTAATTTTCCCAAAATATGCATGTAAATTGTTCTTATATTGCATTTGAATTGGTTTTAAATTTTCCCAAAAAGTACACTTTTAATTCACATTTAAACTTTCGGAAAAAGCGCATCTCATTCAGGTTTCTAAAGATCGTCCAAAAAAGTGTCGTATTTTAATAAATATTAAAGTTACATTTTTCATTTTAGTTGACTTTCTCTCAACAAACGTCACATCACAAAAGACAAAAAATTATATCCTAAATCACCTTTAAATCCTAAATATTCAAAACTAGATTTGTGCCCGTTCGATTGTTCGATTGGTCGGGTGATTATTTCTCGAAGAGTGAATATACAATTAATATTTCTGTCTAGTTCATTTAGTGGTTATAGAATAACTCATATAACACAATATGTTTGAGCTACTACTATCTTGTAAGATTCATCGCATCTTTGCTATAGAACCTCATTGTACTCAACAATTTATGTTATTAATTAGTTGATAATTATCAATCAAAATATCAAATTCTCACCAAATGATCTTAGTATTGTAATTTCTTAAACACCCAAGTATTCCCCAAGAATTATCTCCAAACATAGACCTCAAATTTGAAAGGGGATTGCTATTGGTAGCCCTAAAAATTCTTATTTGTCGCCCTAATTATGTTAAATTTACTCTAATGTCCTTTGTGATTTCAATTTCATCCAATCGACGGCAAACAGACCACCGATTCACCGGAAACAGAGGAATTGAAAAGGGTAACTACATCTCCTACACGCTGGCCCGCTTATCAAGAGCGGGAAGACGACGAGGTTGGTTTTCTATGCGAACACCCATAATTCTTGAATGGCCATTGAGCTTTTGGGATAATTAACAAATTCGCATTCTCAATCTTTCACAGAAGCTACGGATTGTCAACTATAAAGAGGAACTAAGCTACTGGTTGCATAATGAATTTGTGAAATGCCTCCTTTACTCGCATAGAAACCCATAGATAGGCAGTTCAGAGATCCGATCAATGCAACGAAAGATCATGTTCTTACTGTCCGAGCTTCTTCCTCGCGAACTGTCAGTAGCTCCAAATCGGCCGCTGACACTCGCCGCTCCCCGCCGACGAGGAGCTAGGGAATGTGTACCTCACGCGTTGCCCATGAGGAGGGCGAGCTCCGTCATCACCTTCGCCGATACGGCGGTCTTCTTCGTGGCTGTGACTCCGCCGCCAAGCGGTTGGGGATTGAGATTGGAAATAGGGCCGGTGGGGAAGTTAGGGGTTGGGGATTGAAATTAAAAATAGGGGTATAAACGTCAATGTAGTATGATTAGGGCGAAAAAAATTTAAATTATAGGGCGACGAATAGCAATTCAGATTTGAAAGCACCAAAATTTTAAAAAAAAACTCAATCAAAACATATTGTGTTTAGTTGGAATCCTCTTCTAATAATTGAATTATTCTCTAAAGCAAATATTTCCTATGAATTCTGTTTAGTTGGAATCCTCTTTTGAAGACTTTGATACCAAATCAATTTTTGAATAGGAAATGTAGAATCAATTATCATTATAAGTATTTTCAATTACCATTATATGTTAGTAATATTATGTTTAGAAGGTTTTTTAATTTCTATATTAGATAAAAACCAGTTGAAATATAGTTTTGGATGTTTTTAAAAGTTTTGGGTATCAAAAAGTAACTAAAATTTTGAGTTGGATGGAAAACTAGACGGATGCACATTTTGGTGACTTTAATGGTACCCGACGCCCTATTCAAACTTAAGTGGTATGTCTGCCCCAATTCTTAAACTTAAGTGGTACACGAAGTATGCTACCCGCATTTTGGGTAATATAGTCTAACATTAGATGGTGGATTTTTTATTTTCTTATAAACTAATTTAACTTAGGATGTTGACCTTGAATTTACACTAAAACTAAAATTGGATGGTTTTCGAAATGAAACATGTAAAAGTTTCTCTGGCTTGGCCTTCACTCCACCATCGATTCTCCCTAGAGATTTCTCGGTTTCTTGACCTATGCTTCTATCTAATTATCTTCCTTATAAGTTGGAAGTACCTAAGAGCAAAAATATAACAGTAGTGGTTCCAGATATATACAGTAGCTACTTATTGCTTAGTATTTTCCACTTTTCAACAGTTTAGTATTTAAATTTCTTACATTAAATTCTTATTTCTAATGAAAATATTATTTAAAATAATATTTGTACCTTATTTTTTTATAATGACATTTTAGTACTCAAACTTTTTAAAAAATTTATAATGATCCAAAGTTCATAGTTTACTTAAATTGACGGATCCTTTCAAAATCCACCAATCTAATATTTGAATCCGTCAATTCAATTCACTAATCTAAAGATTCAATCCACTTGCCACATTTAAGCGGAGGATATGATAGTACATTTGAAGGTGGATAATTTAAAAGGTAAAATTTTGTTTGAATAGAATAACAAAAGGGTGTAAACTTTGAATGAAAAACATATATATAATGATTCAAACTGAATATGATATTTTGAAAAAGTAAAAAAATATTTTAAAAAATATCATAATTCGTCTGCTCCATTAGTACGATATTGTCCGTTTAAGTCTGCACGATTTTAGTTTTGGGTGTCCTACCCAAAAGGCCTTGTACTAGTGAGTTTGATGGACACTTACATACAAGAGTCTCTTCCCTTGTATTACCGATGTGGTACTTGGATTGTCCCATAACAATCATCCAATGAAGACAAGGACCACGAACCTCGTGTCCTCTCCTCAACGATTTTCTTGATCCGCCGAACCAGATGTAGATCACCTTGGATCTACTAGACAGACGCAGACCACCTTGATCCACCAAACAGACTTGGTTCTCTCCTATAGGGGCGGAGCTATGTTAGAGCCAAGGGAGGCACTGGCCCCCGAGAATTTGGGAAGTTACGTAGAAATTTGATTGTCAAAATTAAAAATAAACTAAAGAGAAAACTATTTTAAAAACTGTGCACTAAATAACACATCACTTGCCTGTAGGCTGTAGCCTAGAGGCCATCAATTTAGTATATGATAAAAATTATTTTCTATCATATTTTAAATAATTTACCTATAAAATACCTTGTGAGATAGTTATAAAAAATAAAAATAAAAATAATTTTGTATATTTTATTTGATTATTTTTCTTACACTAAATTTCGCCCTCCCCCCATCCTCCATTCCTAGCTCCACCTGTGCTCTCCTAGATCCACCAAACAGGTGCAGATCTCAAATCTTAATATAATCCAATGAGAGTCCCTCCAAACTAAACGTCCACCGTGTTAGAGAGTGATATAAGATCCAGCATAACCTTCTCCCAACAACTCGAGTTATTGGGACCAACTGGTTTATGACATGACATTAGAGCTGGTTTGAACAAGTGGTCATGTGTTTGAATCTCCACGACCTCCAATATTAACAGTTGATTAAAGCACAAGGTATGGTGGGCATGTGCAAACCTTAAAGCCCATGGGTTGGGTTTAGTTTGAGGGAGTGTGTTAGAGAGTGATATAAGATCCAGCATAACCTTCTCCCAACAACTCGAGTTATTGGGACCAACTGGTTTATGACACACCGCACCAAATTCGCCTAATCAGGCTCTGATACCATTTGTTAAACCGGGTGGCTCCATTTGTACAATATTGTCCGCTTTAACCCAATCCCGCACGATTATTCTTTTGAGTTCTTCCCAAAAGAACTCGTACTGATGATCTTGGTGAACACTTATGTACAAAGATCAATTCTCTTATATTACGCATGAATACTTGGATTGTCACATAACAAAAAGAAACAAAGAAACTCCTTTGTTCTTTTTCTTATTTATCTAATTCTATGATTTACTCTATGTACCCTAATCTTCTCTATATCTTCCCCATTAATATTTCGCATATTTCAGCCCATATATGTAAAAAAAGGTACTCATTCTTTTGCTATTTCCCGTTTACTTTCTATTGGACAGACGCCCAACTCTCCAACCTTTCTTTCCCCCCTATCCAGATCGATGAACCGTCAATCTTTGATAACATGCAAAGTGAGGAGTATCAATTCCAATGAGAGGATGAATGACACAAGTAGGGTACTTTTGCTCCAAATCAAGGGGAGATTGAACTGGTGCTTGCTGGCATTCTGCAGTGAATCTTGATGGAGGTGCAACTTCAGATATCTGATACTAGGTGTTTGAACCTAACTGAGTATAGGAGTGAGGTTCTGGGGAAGGGGACGAGAAGAGTAAGCAATGGGATTCACTAATGGGTGAAGAACAAAGAATTGAGAGAACGTGGTTGAGAGAGTAATATTTTAGAGAGAGAAGTTTGTAGTTTTTAGAGATAGAGTCAGAAAAATCCGATCCCCTCACCCACCAGAGTAAATGCCATATTTATAGGCTACATGATGGTGGGTGAGTTACATAGTGATATGACTACTGACATGGTGATACGACTACTGATATGTCAGAACTTTAGGCCACACCTCTACCTAGGACTAGGAGTTTGGTCCATGATTGTACCTAAGACTATGATGTGACTACTCTTCGAGGAATGTGGCGTCCTTTCCATGGTTTCTTGGTCTGGTCAACGCTTGGTTGAAACGTCGTCGTTCGGCGTCTGGGATTTTTGTCCGCGAGCGTGGGCTCTGCCGCGCTCAAGGTTCTCGCGCGAGCGCAGCTTTGGTTGTGTTGGCACTAACGCGCTAGACCCTTCTGGGGGCGATGCCGGGGTGCTTCCTTGGCGCGGCTAGACCCGAGTCATATGCCCAACAATTGACCCCCATCAGGCGGTATTCCGTGAGTGTCGCCTGTTTGAGTTCCGCGAGATTGGCTCGGGTCTGCGTGATCTCCGCGAGAAGTTTCTGGTTGATTGCGCGTGATACTTTGGATTGAGCTTGGATTTGGGGGGTGCTTTTTTGTTATTTCCGCGAGATGCTCTTGTCTGGTTGCGCGCGACTCTTGGGATTGAATTTGGATTCGGGTGTGCCGTGCGTGAGATGTTCCGGGCTGATTGCGCGTGACTCTTGGGATTGAGATCGAATTTGGGGGTGCTTTTCTGCCATCCGTGAGATGCTATGGTCTGGTTGCGCGCGACTATTGTGGATGAGTTTGAATTTGGGTGCGCTTTTTCTTCTTCGCGGGTGTGTCATGCCCCCCAGGCGGTGTGCGGAACTTTGTGACATCAGCGGCTAGTGCCTATGTCAGCGGCTAGTGCCTATGTCTGATAGGTGTCCACGTGTCTTTCTCTAAATGCTTTATTTAGGTGGCGGTTTTTGAAATTCGAAAAGCCACGACGGTTGCGATTCTCAATGCGACCTTAACCTTTCAGCTTTTCTTTTTCAACTATAAATACTAGTTCACCATCGGGGGGAATTCATTCTGCTTTCCTCAGCCTCTGTTTCTTGTTTCTCCCTTTGCTGTTGCTAATATTCGTGGTAGTGTCATGGATAGCATCAATATTGACGAGATCGAGGTGGTGCAAGACGAAGAAGGTAATCTTTCCCCTCTTTCGCATATTTCTACGGATCCTTCGCTGGATCTGGCCGATTCCGACAACGGAGACGGCGGCGGGGCTGATGATGAGAGAGTTCCGGCAACGTCGTCGTACGACGTCGACTCGGGACGTGATTTCCTGCACAGCTCCTCCGACGTGGATATGGTAGCGTCGGGAAGTGGACAGCCAAGCACGCGTGCTCGCGGAGTGTTGATAATCCGCCGTGACCGTGCTGGCGAGTCTAGGGCCGTGGATGTTGAGACGCGCGAGGGATCTGACACTCAATCGGAGCCGGTCTGTGTTGCGTGCGTGTCCGAGGCGATGAGCCGCCTTAAACTTCGTGGTGTGGGCGCGGCCTACACCATTTTAGACTGGGCAAAGATGTGGGGCGAGGAGCCAGCGCCGCATGACAACCTTCTGCGAGGACCCGATCACGCATCCATCTACGGGCGGAGGGAAGTATCAGAGATCGTGCGTGGATTGGGTTTGCCCCCCCAGTTGGGAGTACTCAGTTCCTTCCGCGCGGAGCAGGGTTGGCAATTACCCCCACGGTGGTTCGGGGTGTACACGGAGTACTGGGTGATGGGGATTAAATTCCCTATTGATCCGCTGCTATGCGCGTTGTACAGGCGCCTCAACTGCTCTGTCGGGAGCCTTTCTCCCTCGGTGATTATGCACGCGTCGTGCCTCCGCCTTGTGTGTAAAAGGCTCAACATTCAGCCGTCTTACGGGTTGTTCCGTAAGATATACAAAATCAAGGAGCCAACGGAGAAGAGCGATTGCCTTTCTATCAG